CACACCATGGGCCTCTTTGGAAAGGTGGAGGCTGATGTAGAAATCACTGCTTCAGCTTCTAAGTTTCATGAAATATTTCACCAAAGGCCTCATCATATTTTCAATTTTTCGACAGGTATAATACATGGCGTTGATCTACTCGAAGGCGAATGGGGCAAAGTCGGGTCCGGAGATATTCACATGGTTTATCATTTTTTCGATGTTTACTTTCTTTACACTATTCTGTAGGACTGTTCATATGACCCGAGAATCCAACAAACTCAGACTACCCAACCTAAACGATAAAAGTTGGGTTGGGTTGTAATTTTTGAAAATCGAAAATTCGGGTCGGTTCGTGGATTGATATGTTTTTTGTTAGGTCAGCCAGATCAACCAACCAACCCAACCAACTCGAAAATATGTTACAACTCATCATATGATCCGAGAATCCAACAAATTCAGACTACCCAACCTAAACGATAAAAGTTGGTTGAAATTTCGAAAATAAAAAATTTGGATCGGTTCGTGGGTTGATTATTTTTTTTTTTGTTAGGTCAGCCTGATCAACCAACCAACCAATCCAATTAGCTCGAAAATATGTTACAACTCATCATATGACTCGAGAATCCAACAAATTCAGACTACCCAACCTAAACGATAAAAGTTGGGTTTGGTTAAAATTTTGAAAATCGAAAATTCAGATCAGTTAGTGGGTTGATATTTTTTTTTGTTACGTCAGCCTGACCAACCAACCAACCCAACTAGCTCGAAAATATGTTACAACTCATCATATGACCCGAGAATCCAACAAACTTAGACTACCCAACCTAAACGTAAAAGTTGGGTTGGGTTGGGTTGAAATTTTCGAAAATCGAAAATTCAAGTTGGTTCGTGGGTTGATACTTTTTTTGTTAGGTCAACCTGACCAACTAACCCAACCAACTCGAAAATATGTTACAACCCAACCCTACATTACACTACTTTTAAGATTATTAGGATATTAAGAATATTTAACGTTTGTAACTGATGTTAATGATACGATCCAATTCGACCCAACTCGAAATAGAAGGTTGAGTTGAATTGGGTTGTGAATTGTATATGGGTTGCTCGGGTTACCAACCCAACTAACTCGAAATTTAGAGTTAGTTGACGAGATTTTTTCAACCCAGCTCGTGTACGGAACAGTAACACGAGTTTAATTTGTAGATGGGAAGGTTGTGGCAAGCAAAGAGATAATTGAAGCGGTTGATGAAGAGAACAATTCGATCACTTTCACAGCCATTGAAGGATGTCTTTTGCAGCAATATAAGAGCTTCAAGTTTAAGCTTCAATGTATCCCAAAGGAGAAGGGAAGCGTTGTTCATTGGACTTTAGAATATGAAAAATTGCACCATGGGATTCCAGACTCCCATGGCTTGCTTCAATTATGTGTTGCTTTGTCCAAAGACATTGATGCTTACCTTATGGAAGACAATGAAGTGGCATGACCACGACCACCGTGTTTCTCCACGCTACGATGTTACATAAATAAATCATGTTTTACTATGTTGTCGATTGTAGGTATGTTTTGCTACGATGTTTGGTCGTGTTTTATGGTAATAATGTTGTCGTTTTATTTATAAATGTTTGGTTATAAATGTTTGCAGCCACTGTACAGCTTCCTAATGTTCTTTCTCGGGTTTGTCATGTGCTTGTTAGCCACTGTACAACTTCTCCATGTTCTTTCTCGGGTTTGCCATGCACTTGCTAGTCACTGTACAGCTTCCCAATGTTCTTTCTCGAGTTTGTCATGTACTTGCTAGCTACTATAAAACTTTCCAATGTTCTTTCTCGACTTTGTCATGCACTTACTAGTCACTGTACAGCTTCCCAATGTTCTTTCTCGAGTTTGTCATGTACTTGCTAGCTACTGAAACTTTCCAATGTTCTTTCTCGAGTTTGTCATGCACTTACTAGCCACTGTACAGTTTCTCAATGTTCTTTCTCGGATTTGTCATGCACTTGCTAGCCACTGTACAGCATCCCAATATTCTTTCTCAGGTTTGTCATGTACTTGCTAGCCACTGTATAGCTTCTCAATGTTCTTTCTCGAGTTTGTCATGCACTTGCTAGTCACGGTACATTTTTTCAATGTTCTTTCTCGGGTTTGTCATGTACTTGCTAACGACTATATAGCTTCCTAATGTTCTTTCTCGAGTTTGTCATGTACTTGCTAATTCTTCCGACAATTATCATTTTGCATGAAAATTATTATTTAAAATAATATTAACTTTTCATAAAATTTGAAAATGAATATCAAACTATATTCAAAATGTTCAGTTTTTTTTTTCCCTTTATTAATTTGAAAGGCATATAAAAAGGATACAAAATAGTTCCAAAAATAAATCTCCTAAATGTAAAATTGGCTATAAAAATCTCTCCCTTAGGGAAAAAATGAAAAAAAAAAAAAAAAAAAAAAACATTCTTTAGAATATCACACTTGGGAACCTGCATAGACCGCTACCTGCCAAAGTTTTGAGACAATATTAGAGACAAGACATGAATTTAGACACAGAAAAGAGAGAATTTTTAACTCACTAGGATCAATAGTTGTCTCTTCAGCTAGTCCATTGAAATAGCAGCTTCCTCCTTGGCTCCTAAACCTCGCCCAATATGAGCTGAAAGCATAGCTTGCATGCCAATGCACTGATACTGGCTCATAACACTCCCTCCCCGGCGTCAGTTCCTCGCATATTCCATCTCCTCCGTTGCACACATCGGTCACTGCTGCCCCGAGCTCCATCAAATCCACCCCTCTCGCTGCCACACACCATAACCTTCCTCTAAATGGCACATTGTTCTCCACCACGGGTATCGGATCGTACTCCACCGATGACTTCCTTCCCGTCAAGTCGATGTCGTAGTTTGGACTCCCGTCCGAGCTCAGTAGCCCCCAATGTCGCTCCGTCCCTGGCCCTGACTTTTGGTTCTCATCGAAGAGAGCAAATATGAACGTCGGTATAACCACCCCTGGTCTCGCTGGTGTCCCAATTGTAGGCTTTGCCATTATCCTCTTTACTAGATTTCGATTATACATTGCCGCGTTGAGGAGATTCGCGCCTAATTATTGATAAATGATTAAATATGTTACAAACTATGATTGATTTAAACTTTTGAGTTGAGTGATATTTTAGCACCTGGCTGTTCGATATCACCGGTGGTTGGCCACCCGGTCTCCGATATCACGAGACGAATATCCGGGTAGCCAAGTTTTGCCATGGCAAATATAAGAGAGTCCAGCATTTCGTCCAAGAGATTAGTATAGACCAACCCACTTCCCCGATCGATCTGTTCAAAGTTTCCATTGAAAAGGGCAAAATCCAAGTTGATATCCATGGGGTTTGCTGACCATGGAAAATATGGATATGCATCCACGAAGAAGAAAGACCTGTCAAGAAATGTAAGTATCAATTTAATCGGGGCCGAAGTAGAACCCATTCCGGACTGGATGGAGAAAGTAGAACCCATTCCGGACTGGATGGAGAAAGTCGAACCTGATTCGAACTGGTTGGAGAATCTCATTTGAACGAGGAAATGAGAGAAGGAATGGGGAGAAACTTTTTTTCGTTAGCTAAAAGGAGACGAGGACAGGGATTATATTCTCCGTCTCCGTCCTCGCTCCCTACCATGCCGAATCCCCACTCCGTCTCACTTCGCTCACTTCTTATAGGTTATCTATTAGCATAAACTAACCTCGTCTCATTCAAGAACTCCAGCAACGGAGCCACCACAGTACGTCGAATATCCGATCTAAACGTCCCAATAGACGGTGGAAACGACGTCTCCAAAACATCCATAGCCACCGGAGTTCCAACTCTAATGATCTGCAAGTTTTGAGCTTTGAGGGACTGCCAAACCCTTCTCATGGCAGGCACAAGGTCAGTCCAAACATGGCGATCCCTATCAGATGCATAGCTCAGAACTTCATTGCCGACAAGAATGAACCGAATCATGGTATCAGGATAAAAGGGAACAACGTTGTTTAGGATCCATTCATCTGATCTTGTCTGGTTGTTGGCAATGTCTGAAATTTCATTGTTGGGTATCATAATGGAGACTTGAAGGTTTGTTCCTGATAAAAGTCTCAAGATTTCATGGTTGGCATCATAAAGCTTCACTCGACCGGCTTTCATGGATTTGATCATTTCAATGGCGAGGCTTGGAGGTGGAAGGTTGCTCCCAAGTTGGCCATAGTTGATACCTATCTTGCTTGAAATCTCTGCGCCTATATGAAGACTCAAAAACTTTACACAAAGTGCAATAAAGAGACTATAAATGGGATTAAATTAAATTTATATACCAAGTCACTTGGGATTATAATGGGTGTTTCGTTCTCCTCCCTAACCAATGTGGGACTCTCACAATCCACCCCCTTCGGGGCCCAGCGTCCTTACTAGCACACCGCCTCGTGTCTACCCCCTTCGGGGAACAACCTCCTTGCTAGCACATTGTCTGGTGTCTGGCTCTGATACCATTTGTAACGGCCCAAGCCCCCGCTAGTAGATATTGTCCTCTTTGGGCTTTCCCTTTCAGGCTTCCCCTCGAGGCTTTAAAATGCGTCTACTAGAGAAAGGTTTCTACACTCTTATAAAGGGTGTTTTGTTCTCCTCTCCAACCAATGTGGGGCTCTCACAGATATGAACTTATTTGAGTTGGGTTTGATTCAAATAAATGAAAACCAACCAAACCCAAAGAATTTATGGTTGCTTTGGGTTGGGTTCATACTTTAATAAAGGTTGTTTGGATTACAAAAAAATGTCTCAACCAGACTCAACTCAACCCATGAACACCCTTACTTAAGAGTTCTGAGGTTCGAACTCCTCACCCGGAAGTGGAGAATCTATTTCAAAAACAAAATTAAAGAGACCCATCAAAGAAAATAAACGTAGGGACTAAAGAGCAAAGTAGAATAAAGTTACGTACCCGAGATGCAAATGAGAGAGAATAGAAGGACGAAATTGAGAGAAAAAGTTGGCATCTCTAGAACTTGTGGTGTTAAACATGGGGGATTATGAGTGGGTTTTGGTGAGCTTTTAAATGGAGAGGGAAGGATGGAAGAGTAAAGATGATGACTAAATAGGAAAGGAAAGTCATATTCTTTTGAAAAATTAAGAACCAACAAGAACACAATATGGCTCAAAGTGACAAAGGGAATGTCGTTTTCTTAAACCAAAAGACAAAGATCATGAATGCTAAAACCAAATTAAAGATGTGAAGGTGAGAGGTTTTCTTTTTGTTCTTTCATTATTTCTTATTATACTAAATGGATCGTACAAATCACGACCAAGAAGTACGGTTCAATTTTTTTGTCACCCTTTTCTTCATTTTTTCTAAACAGGTATCGTTGATCATTTTTCATTATCTATACAGGGATACCATTGATCATGTGAGATCCCATATCAGTTAGAAAGGGGAACGAAGCATTCCTTATAAGAGTGTGGAAGCCTTTTCTTAGTAGACATGTTTTAAAACCGTGAGATTGACGACAATACATAATGAGCCAAAGAGAGCCAAACACTGGGCGGTGTGCCAGCGAGGAGGTTGGGCCTTCAAGCCTCTTTCTCTATTATATTCCTCGTTTATTGTTCAAAATCTAGAATAAAAAATATTTTAAATCATTAAGTTTTAAGTATAAGACTTCAAAACAGACCAAAGACAAGAGATGAAGGGGTACCTTTATGAGTTCATGAAGCCACTTTGTTCATCACAAAAAGCATGGCATGAATCGATTGAGATGTCTTGATTCATATCAATATTGTTCTCCATGCTTCGTTCCTGACATGAGCCACTAGCTAGGCTTGTGGCAGACTTTGAACTGAACCCTCTGTTGGTCCCTATTATCAAAGCAGCAAGTTAGATTTCACCCACATACATAGAATGTCGCCGTGTCTGTGTCGAGTGGTATCCGTTCGAGTGTTCATGGTGGGTGTATAATTTGAAAACATGGTTATCATTTACTTACTCATCGACCCAATAATTGAACGATATGAATCTCGAAACGTGCGAAATCTTGGACCATTCTGATTCTTCTTGGCGAAGCCTGAGCTCATGGCAATTGAAACTGCGCAGTTCTTCCAATTTGGCAAGGCAACCCATAGCTTCTGGAAGCTCTCTCAAATTTCTGCAACTTTCAAGGTGCAAAGTTTCCAATGAGGTAAGATTTCCAAACCACTCTGGTAGAGATTCAATGCCTTGAAAGCCAACAATTTTCAAATGCTTTAAGCCAGTGAGGTGCTGAAGTTCGCCTGGAAGTGTGCTTTCTGCACTGCCAAAGTCTATCAATGCTAGATTTTCAAGAGATTCAAGGTGTAAAAGAGGCCTAAAATCAAACCCTTCCATGAACCCACCAATTGACAAGCTTTTCAGGCAAGTCAGGCAGTGAAATCCTTTCGGCAAGTTCCTCAAGCCAGTGATCGTCAAAGATGAAAGATTCTGCAATGCTTTTATATCCGGGGTCGACGTTAGATCGTGGTAGCCGACAATAGACAATTCAATTACAGACATGTATGATTCTAGCTCTTCAGCTTGATTACTTGTCCATTTTGTGTCATATCCAATCTTGCATTTCAGAAGATCAGTGAGCCACTCAATGGTCGGAAAGGATTTCAAGTGAAGGTAATACCAAACCTTAAACTCCTCGAGAGATGACAGATTACCATATAGCTCCTCAGGCAAACCACTCAGACTGCCTGAGTGTATTATGCCAAGTAGCTTAAATGTCTGCAGAGTGTTCTGCGAAACTGGGTTGTTAACATCGTCGATTTCTAACGTCCTGAGAGTCGAGAAGTAATCAGGAACAATTTCTAATCTCGGACAGTCAAGAATTTTTAACTCTTCAATACAAGGGAAAACCGCAACGTGCAACGGAACTGCTGCCTCATCCCAACGTCCCAGATTCTCCATGTCCAGAAGATCAAATCTTTTCAGCTTTGGAAACAAACTTCTCCCTTCATTTTCATTTCCATAGAACTCAGTCCCTATACTTTTTAAGTTGTGCAATCCAGAAATCTCAAGAACTTTAAGATTACGCAGATGTCCAAATGTCGGGATTCTTCGACACCTGCTACAGTTTTTCAGAGAAATCCTCACTAAATTTTCAACAAAAGTAAGATTTGGAAAGAATTCTCCCATAAAGTTCTCAAGTTTCAAGTATTGGAGATTTTTGTGTGGTTGAAGTCCTTCTAAAACAGCAGTGTCATGATCATCACTAACTTCTCTTTGATCACTCCATAATAGTTTCAATTTGTACACTTTTTCCTTTTTCACCAACTTTGCTGTCATGGCTTCCCCCATGTTTCTGACAAACTCAAGATTATAAAGCCCTAATGTTCCTCTGAGATGGCTCAGATATCCAAGCTCTTCTATATGAGAGCCCTTGTCCATGCCAACAACAAAAAAAGGCAAGGATTGAAGATCAACCAACCTACCTAGATAACAAGGCATGTGCCTATTCGTTGGTCTTTTAATATCCATATAGAAATGTCTCAAGCTGATCAGTTTCCTGAAGTTCTTGGGGGCTTCTCCATGGAAACAACCAAGCCTCAGGGTTTGCAATTTGTAAAGCTTAACAATAGATTTTGGAAGTTCCTTTATCATATTATTTGAAACGTCTAGATACCGTAGATGCTTTAACCTTCCGATCGACGTTGGCAAGCTACGGATTTCACATCGCGATATGTTTAGAACACACAAGCGCTTGAAACTTATAATCTTGTGGCCAAAGACATCTCTGTCCAAGAACAAAGAACGTAAGTTCCGCATACTCCTTATAGAAGGCAAAGGTACATTATTCTCACAACCAATCAAGGATAATTGTCGAATTTGAGAAACGTTGTCATTTAAACCAATAACATCTGAACCGAATGCTGCACATTTTGAGATAGAATATGCAAGATCATGAAGAAGATGATGCATCTTACAGTGAGTGATTTTACCATTCTCATCTTTGACAATATCTTGAAATAAGGAATGAGCTAGTAAGATATTGAAGTACTTGTCTCCTATATCTTCCATGGTTTCATTGCCTGCTTGATCAGAAGGTTGAATGAACCCTTCAGCCATCCAGCATTGGATTAGTTGTTCCTTTTCAAAGTTATATCCCTTTGGAAAATTTGAAAAATAGGCAAAACATTGTTTCAACGACGAGTTCGGCAAATGATCCACGCTTAATCTCAAGATAGACAAGATATCGTTTTCATTTTGTAGCGGATTCATAATCAGGGTTTCCAATGTTGACATCAACAAAGTCTCTCTTCTTGTCTTAAATTGTATGGATCCTCCCACGACTTTTGCAACCAATGGAATGCCTCCAAACTGCTCAGCAAGCACATTCTTCATAACTTCCAGCTCTTGAGTCAGTGGTAGACCATTTGGGGACGCTCTTTCCTTGAATATCGACCAGCATTCATCGTCTGATAACTTAGCTAAACGATAAACGGGAAACGTCTTCACGACTTTTCCAGCTTCTTCACTCCGAGTTGTCACAAGAATTCTATTCCCAACACTATTTGTAATCTTTAGCAAAAGACTCATCAAATTGTTCCACAGTTCAAAATTTTCATTCCATACATCATCCAGCACAAGAAAATACCTCTTCCCTTCCAGCTCCTTTTGTAATCTTCTAAGTATAGCATCCATACTATCCAAACCACTTGGAAAGTTCGTAAGAGATTCCAAAATTGCTCTTAAAATCTTCTTCTCATCAAAACTTGCAGTCACACACACCCAAATTGTTTCATCAAAATGAGCTTCTACAAGCTCATGATTAAAGACTGCTTTAGCCACTGTTGTCTTTCCAAGACCACCCATCCCGACAATAGGAATGACAGAGATCCTGTCGTGTGTGGTAGTGTCAAGAACTATGCTAACTATTCTTGATATATCAACCCCTCTTCCTACAATCTCAAACTCATCAAGAAATGAATCAGTCTCTGGAATTTGCCCATTATTAGCACTCGTTACCCTTTCATTCACTTTAGCAACAACCCCCACAGCACTTGCCTCCACATTAATCTCATTCAAAATTTGGGTAATGGTTTTAATTTTATGAGCCATTTTCAACCTAAACAACAAGGGATTAGAGAATGAAAAGAAATCACATACCATTTTCTTGGGATTTCCATTGACGTCAATTTGGCGCCGAAGATTCTCGTAGGAGAGCTCTTCCATTATAACTTCGGCATCGATGGCTAAACCCTGAAGCTTAGCGGCCCAAATCATGAACGATTCTCGATCGGACTTCGCTTGATCGACATCGCGAAGAATGGCTTTGACGAGGTGCAGAGAGGTGCAGAGCTTGGAGAGCTCCGTCTTAAAATGGCAGGCTAGATGAATTTGCTCGGCTGCAAGACCAAATGCCTTCTTCAGAATCTCCTGCACTGCAAATGTCGAGATGAAACCGGCCATTTCTGCGACTGTTCGGCGATAACTCTGCTGGTTTTCTCACTGGCGTGGAACTGCATTTTCTCCGTCGTGGAAGGAGGAGGACGACTTCAAGTCAGCTTCCAGAACGTCCGTGGAAAAGTCAATAAGAAAAAGAAAAGGTAATTAGTGACTCTAATTAATATTTATGTGCGAGGAAACCACCGGAAATTCACCCATTTTTTAAACTCCCAACAACCAGGAGTTTTCATATTTTTAGAAAAACACGACTCTCCATTGTGATATTGTCCGGTTTTAGGTTCTTTGATTATAAATCCATGATATGATATTATCCACTTTGATATAAGCTCTCATGGCTTTGCTTTGAGCTACCCAAAAAGCCTCATACTAATGAAGATAGTATTTCTTTATTATAAACCCATGATCATTTTCTAAATTAGCCGATGTGGGACTTTCATCATCCAACAAACATTACTTTAGTTGGATGAGTCCAATTAATCGACCAACTTGAAAATAGGGTTGCAATCCAAATCCAACTCAACCCAATCGACCCGAGCTTAAAATCCATTTGTCTATAATATATTTTAAATATATAAATTTGGGAAGTTTTCTAGTTTTTATTTCTTAGGAAATAAGTTGAAGAAATTGGACTTGTGTGGATGGTTAACTCGGCCCAAAAGGATCATTTTTTTGCATTAAGCCCAAATATTAGGCCCTTTAATAGTCCAAAGCCTAAGCCTAGGAAAGATGTGTTTAGAAGAGTTGGGCCTAGGCCCAACAAGCTTTAAACCTACTTAGTTAGGCCCAAATCAAATCTGCCGGGACGATGCACATTTTTGTATAGATAATAACTTTCAATTCTTTTAAGTCTTTCTTAGTCATCCTATTCTCAGTATGACTCTCGAGTCTCGGTTTTTTTATGTACTTCTCATTTACTCGGGTGTTACGGTACCCTTAATTTTTTTTTTCTTTAAAATTCAATTAATTGGACTTTTTGGTACAAAATAAAGAAAGTTATTATTTTTAGGTTAAAAAATTATAAAAATAGCTTCATAATCCAAAAACATCTTTGTCACGTGGTGTCTTGTTTGGTGAGATTTGTCAAAGGTTTCATAAGAATCATCATCAAAATAATGATAATAATAATAGAAAATCACTTTTAATGGAAATTAATAAATAAATAAATAACAATGCTTTTGTCCCCTGGTGGGTACCTTTGTCGCCTCACGGCCACATGTGATTCGACAAAACGGTAATGTTTCGAACCAAATCAATGATTCCCGCTTGTCTTTTTCTAAATTTATTTTTTTTAGAGATCAAACAATAAAAAGAAATTAATATATATATATATATATAATTTTAAAAGATTTCAGTAAAAAATATATATTTAAACCAAAAATTAAAAAAAAATGGTAATTTTTTTTAACTAAATTAATAAAAAATACTCTTTACGTTTTTACCGTCTCATTTTAAAAATTTCAATAATATCTCTAAATTTTTTAAAATTTTAAAAAATAATGAAATATAAATTAAAATAAAATTTTAAGAATATTATGAAATTTTTTAAAATTTAAGAGTATTTTTTAATTAAGTTATTTTTATTAAATTATATATATATATATAATTACCATGGCGGTGGTTAGGTGGTCATGTCGTTGTACGGACAACAAAATCACGCACACGTACGGCTGTACTTCGAGACAAACGTGACCCCTTCGAGAAGACGATTCCACAGTCCCTTCCATACGCTTGGATACACACAATCACTCCTCCACAGCAAAGCGTCAGTGCGGTAGCCTTTGCCCTTTGTAATGGTATGAAATGAAGAAGGTTGAGCACAAGCACATGGAGGGCTACACAGCGTAAGCCGTCGCAGGCGCTAGTTTCTCCTTCACTGTTTACACTGACCGCAAGGCCCGCAACCCCTTTTCTCAAAACCCCACTTCTGGACTTTTCTCCATTGCCCCCTGTTTCCCTTTCCTTTTTTCAACCCTTTCGAAACAAATATAGTGAATTCCCATTTTCCCAAATGAATGATTCTCCCTCTTTTTAATCTCTTCGTTTCGCTTCTTCTTCGGATCTTTTCTCGCTTTCAGAAATGGAGCATCGAGATCAGAGTAAGTAGCCAACTCCCTCTAGAATTTTGGGGTTTGTTCTTGAAATTGGCGGTGAAATCTTGGCTTGCTTGGTGATTTGTGTTCATTTTGGGGTTTATAATGGATTGGGCATTTGGGTTTTTGTGGGTTTTGGAAATTAGTTGTTGGGTTTGTTTTTGATTAAGGGTTTTGTTGGGTTTTGTAGGGCAGGAGAGCCATGGAGTTCATGTTTGCAACAAATGTGGATGGCCCTTTTCTAGCTCTCATCCGAGTGCTAAACGTAGGCGTGCTCACAAGAGGGTTTGTGGAACCATTGAAGGGTTCAAGCTGGTTGAGTCTGAGGCTAATACCCTTTTGACTGTTTCAGATAATGATGGCTATCATAATAGTTCCAGTGAGAACTCTCTTCCATACACTGTATTCTTTATAGTTTTGCTATCTGCACTTTCTTGTTTGTTCTTTGTTGCTTTCTGGGCTTTCAAAGCCTTGTTTGATTGTCTTGAACTTTGGATAAAGAGCAATTCTAGTGCTTGTTGTTAATCTTCTGTGAGTTGTTTAATGGAAACATGGCATCAGTGGTCAACCGGGAGAATTAGCAGGTTGGGTGTTCCTTTATGTTCTTGTTAAATGATTTGTGAAAACTAATGATAAGGATTGAAATAACTTGGGAAATATAGGGATAAAAGTTGAGGTATAGAACAGAGTACGTGAGATCCCACGTCGGTTGAGGAGGAGAATGAAATATTCTTCCTAGCAGACGCGTTTCAGTAGGGTAGCCCGAGAGGGAAAGCCCAAAGAGGACAATATCTGCTAGCGGTGGGTTTGAGTTGTTACAAATGGAATCAGAGCTGGATACCAGGCAATGTGCCAGCAATGAGGCTGAGCCCCGAAGAGAGTGGACACCAGGTGGTATACAAGCAAGGACGCTGGGCCTCGAAGGGGGGTGGATTGGGGGGTCTCACATCGATTGGAGAAGGGAGCAAATGCTAGCGAGGATGCTGGGCTCCGAAGGGGGTGGACTGTGAGAGAACAAAGCATTCTTTATAAGGGTGTAGAAAGCTCTTTCTAGTAGATACGTTTTAAAAACCTTAAGAGAGTCCAAAGAGGACCATGTTTGCTAGCGGTCCAAGTAGGAAAGTTCATAAAAAGTTATGCTATGGATTCTTAAGTTACACTTATTCTCTGTCTTTTTTGCTTGCATTTATCTTTTGTGTTGGAAAAGAGGGGCCTGTGGTAATGAAAGCTGCTGTGCCTTAAGATGTTTTTAATTATGTCAGTAAATGCTGCTAGGTCTAGAAGTCCTGGGAGGCAGTTGCAGTGACAATGGCGTCGATGGAACGAAAACAAAATCGAAGGAATCCGGAGATGAAGTGTTTTCCGATGCTGTTGCAGAGTTTTCAGAGGGCATAGGACCAAACAAATCCATGGGAGATGCTTTGAATTCGGAAAGCATGTCGAAGATGGTGGCCGAGGATGAAATGAATAGCTCCCGAGCTACGAATGACACAGAAGTCTTTGGTAAGTTTAATGTTCGGGACAATTTATCTCGTTCTTTTTCGCTTGTCTGGTCATATTGTTAGCTGTTTATGGTCGGTCAGTTTCGTATGTGTTTCATGGTCTTTCATTGCCATTGTTGGATTGAAGATCCCACATCGGTTGGAGAGGGAAACAAATCATGCTAGCGAGAATGCTGGGTCCCCAAGGGGGGTGGATTGTAAGATCCCACATCAATTGGAGAGGGGAACGAAGCATGTTAGCGAGGACGCTGGGTCCCCAAGGAGGGTGGATTGTGAGATCCCACATCAGTTAAAGAGGGGAACGAAGCATTCCAACGAGGACGCTGGGTCCCCAAGGAGGGGTGGATTGTAAGATCCCACATTGATTGGAGAGGGGAACGAAGCATGCCAGCGAGAACGCTGGGTCCCCAAGGATGGTGGATTGTGAGATCCCACATTAGTTAGAGAGGGGAACGAAGCATCTCAACGAGGACGCTGGGTCCCCAAGGAGGGTGGATTGTGAGATCCCACATCAGTTAGAGAGGGGAACGAAGCATTCCAACAAGGACACTAGGTCCCCAAGGAGGGTGGATTACGAGATCCCACATCAGTTGGAGAGGGGAACAAAGCGTGCCAGTGAAGGTCCTCAAGAGAGGTGGACTGTGAGATCCTATATTGGTTGGAGAGGGAACGAAGCATTCTTTATAAGGGTGTGGAAACATCTCCCTAGTAGACGCATTTTAAAACCGTGAGGCTGACGGCGATACGTAATGGGCCAAAGCGGACAATATCTATTAGCGGTGGGTTTGGACTGTTACAACAATAATGGAAAAGGAAAACTTCTGAATCATTGAAGGGAAGGCTAGATAAACTCGTCGTTCATGCAGCAATGCCGTGCTAAGTTTCGAATAGTGTAACGAGAGCGAAAGAGACCTGTTTTTTTTGCAAAATAAAATGCAATCTCATTTTACTGGTTTCTGTTTGGGAAATCCTGTTCTACTTCATGTTCTTCAAATTATTTTTACAATTTTTGTTGCAGAAACTACTATCCATCAGTCAGGAAGCGAGCAGGAACACGAAATTAATCAAGAACTTTTGAATATCGAGACTGACTCTCGAATTCCGTTGTCGTGTTCTTCAACTGAAAATCAAAAGGTTGAGGATTCGATTGTTGCAGAAACCGCTATCGATCGGTCAGGAAATGTGCAGGAAACCAAAGTTGATCAAGAACTTATGAATCTTGTGACTGATTTAGGAACTCCTCTGTTCATCTCTTCAACTGAGCAGGAAACCAAATTTAATCAAGAACTTGTGGTTCTCCACGACGATCATATGAATACGACTACTGCAAGTGACTTGAACCCGATTGAACCCGAAACTATAGTGCCTCTGCAACAAGAAAAGAACATTCATCGTGCTGAAAACGTGCCTCGATGCTCCTTGCCATCTCCTGATACAAGATATGATGAAAAGAAGAATGAGGGGTTCGGTTCGTTTAAAAACTCGGCAGAAATTGCTGCACCACCGGGAAGAATGGATAATGATAAATCCGAGCCAGTATCGAAGATGGAAGAAACCATTGAAATACCTAAAGAGCCCACTGCACATAATGGAAACGATCTAGAGTCTTGCAGTTGTCACATCTTACTCGAGACCGATGAAATAAAAGAAAGGAATGACAATGTGCCTCCGCCTTCTGTGTCGAGTGACTTAAACGTTGTAGAGCGTCGTGAGGCTTTAGTCGACGATTCAAAGGACCATAAGGATCTTAAGTTAACTGATTATGTTGTACAGGATCGTCATGAAGGAGTCGGTGGTTCGGGAGACAATTTTAAGGATCCCGTTCGTGAGACTTCCCAGGCCGAGCCATTTGATCCAGCCTCGGAAGTAGCTTCTTTTGACACTGGAGTCAAGAATGTGTCTGTTGATGTGAGAGCTGATTGTTCTAGGAATAGCAACGAGGAAGTCGAAGAAATTCCCGTTAAAGAAGTGAATGCAACCGAGATTAAGAGTGAACTCGATGAAAACGAGAAGCACGATAAGAGTCGAAACTTAAGTGATGCTGCAAATTTTGGGATTGATAGTGTTCCATCAGCCTCCTTTTCACCAGAAGTTGAACCAGTGGCCTCTTCCATGCATTCTCTCGATAATCTTTCTGAAAATGTTACCGATGTCGTTTTCGATGAAAACTCAGCTGCACCAACAGGTAATCTAAAGAAACTCGACGACAATGAAGTGGGAAACGGAGGAGTTCTTCGAGCTGATGATGAGAACAAAGCAGGAGCATGTGGAACACATTCAGAGGACATGGCGCAAATTTATATTCCAGAGGAAACGGTTTCAACAGGGATCGATTCCACGATGCTTGAATCTAACACGAACAGCAGAGAGAATAGATGTCGTGCTGTTGCTGAAGAGATAGCAAACGAATCTCCTAGGAAGTTTTCTGGGACCGAAAACGCAGACACAAAAAGTTTCGGAATTAATTTAGTTTCAGATGCTCAGCAAAGTGTAAAAGACGACGATCATGGCGATGATCAGTCATGTCATGTTGCAGGTTTTAGCGCAGTTCAAAACTCGTCCGATGTCGATTCGAACAAAGAAGCGAATTTGGTTTCTGTCAGTAACGAATCTGTCACGGGAAGATCAGACGCTCCTCGGGATGGCAGTGTGAGCCAGCTTGTTGGAGGTGTGAGAATTACTTCTGAAACTTGGCAAGATGATACTGTGAAAACCGACGTAAGACCGCAGCTTACATCATCCCTTCTCGATGCTTCGGTCGATGCGAGTAGTCAAACCGACAGTCTTGAAGGCAACTGGGGGTCTGTCTCAGGTATTCTTATACTTTGATAGTACTTTTTATATCAGAAACTTTCTTGATAATTAGTATATTTCTTGACCATGAGGAACAGTGCTCTCAACTCAGTCAGATTTACCAGCTGTTGTTGATGGCGAAGCAACACTGCAAGCACGAGCCGAAGCAGCGGGAAACAACTCGGAGAGGATGGAAGCTGCAACCAAGAGACAACATTCCGACAGATGTGATTTGTTCGAGCCACCATCTTTTATGACCTTGGTCGAACCTGAAGGTGGAGGAATCCAAAGCACAGGCGCTTCCGAAATCCAGACCGACGAAAACCAACAGCAGCGAAATCCTGCATCTCTGCAGGCTGGGTGGTTTCCCTCGTACACTCACGTTGCAAAGGACTCACCGGGACGAAAGAAGAACGAGGCAGTTATAGCGAAGGTAACAAACTGGAGCACAGGGAAGCCACACACTGCTCTCAAGAACCTTTTGGATGATGCTGCACTCGAAAACAAACAGAAATCATCACCAACACGAAAAGAAAACCTGGCTTCCATGATTCAGAAAGACGAAAATTCGACAGAAAATAGTGTGGTCAACGCAACAGTCGGCTCCGTTACTCGGCCGAGATCGCCTGCCTCACAGTTGGGAAACAGAGAGATTCCAAATGAATGGAACTCTCCTGCAAGGTATCCATCAGACATCCGGAGAGAAAGGAGAAAAGGGAAGCCATATTGGGCTCAATTTGTATGCTGTTCATCAGTGCATTAGTAGTGTAGAGTGTTGCAGAACTGGCTTGAATGTTATTTAGCTGTATGAACTTTTCAGGGTGCTTTGCTTTTTGTGCCATATTCAACATGGCTCAATGAACACAAACTTAGCAGAATTGGATCAAATTGATGCATGAAACTAAAATTTTTGAATAACTGATAGAAATCAAAAAGTTCATAACCCCATTAATAGAATTGAATAACCAACAGGTGTGTCTTTCATAAATAAAGGTGCAATTTCAGACTAAACTCCCTTATAATTTACTTGGAGATTCATAAAAAATACTCACTTTGTGGTCTAACCTCAATACAAAATAACAAATTGAAGAACCAAAATTACTAACAGAATGACTTTCACAAATGTCTAAGCTGTTGAAGGATTCCTCTAAATTACATTCTCCTTTTTGTCTCCTCATGTAACTTGAAGCTAAAGTGACCTTTGTGACCCTTTATTAGGCTGCAATGCCGACCGAGAATGTCGCCCGAAAAAAGAATTTTATCAGTGTTCTCAAATATTCTCCAAATGAGAGAGTGGGGGAAATATTGGCTTCTCAACTTGGAAAATAATGGAAAGACTAGAAAAGACGTCAACAAGACCAGATATACATCTCCCTTAGTGAATTTTTCCCACAGCAAGACTGATCGGATCTTTACTATAAAAGCCTCAAGAAAGCCTATCTATTCTCAAGATTGGACAGCCAACCTCTGAAGATGCTCAAAGAAAACTTGAAGGCTGACATCGTCAGTAAATATGATATCTGACCCAGCCGCCATTTCTTGAGCATTGTTATATGTTGCGGATGGATTCAACTTTGCCAGTAAGAATCTAGCCTGCTCACAAAATCAAGATAATAAAATATAAACCTTCAGATGGAATGTTCATTCAGTTCCACAATCATACGTATTTATCAAATAAACCAACATCTACAAACAATCCTTTGGAACAGATGGAAAAACCCATTGCAGACATTAGAGAAATAATGTTTTTGTAACCATCAATTTTTTCTTTTATGCTTCACACGTCATAAACGACTTATTAGTGACAGAACGGTTGGAAAATAATCGAGCTAAGCATCAAAATTATGTAGCCATGTGCTATAAGTGAATTTTGAGTGATTAGAAAGGGACAAAACATGCAAAACAAACCTGTGTGGTACTACTTAGTAAAAATGAGCTAGGAGCCTAAAAAAATAATGACAGTGGAAGCAGAAAAGAAGTATAATAGTATTTTAGTGCTTCTGTGTAATCATCTTTGCTGTAGTGCAACCCAAAGGTACATATTAAGAAAATAACCTGAGAGCCATGCTGATCACAGACAACCAGACGAGGTACTGGAAAACGTTCGTTAATGATAATTTGGGCATCATCATGAGGAGCTTGTAATAACTGTGCAAATGCCTGTAAAAAGAACGCTAGACTGATTAAATGGAAGACATGGCTGATACACCCGTTATGAACCACCAAATTACCGTAGTGCAAGAAACACAATCAACTTTTAAATTTATTCTCTAAAAACAAAAAACATGGTATAGATAGAATATTCATACATGGTCGAAGGTTTCTAAAATGGGTAATTATAAAATCAAATTTTGAAAAAAAAAAATTAAAAAACGAACTTATTAAATTTCGACTTTCAACAGTAGTAGTAGTAGTAGAGGGATTGATTAAGCAAGCACAAACTTGGTGTTCCGGCTGATTTTGGTATCCCATATTACGCCACTGAGCTATTGTCATCCCATGAAATACGACAACACTGAAATATGAATCTAGCAGGAGAATACGATCAGCTGCAATGGAAGCAACATCTAATAACGCTGGTGCAGGCAGTGAATTGAACGAGTACGATATTAGGGACGGTTGGATCATCACAGCAGCATTTGTAATGTTCTCCCTATTTAACAACATCCTAAAATATGCAGTTTCATCTGGACTGTTGTTAAACACCTGCACAGGATCACAAGTATCCAAACAAAGAATGCAAATCATCTTTCCATTGGATCATGTTCATATGAACAATCTCAAGAATGATACCCTAGAAGATGTATATACCTGAACAAATTGTGAACGCCGCAAATTAAACAAGAACTGAGGATACAAAGAAAATGAAGGATTTAGAGTAAAGGAAGATGGATCGTCTTTCCGATAATCACCAAACTTAGAACAGAGGCGAATCAAGGATCGATCCAACCATCGAATAGCATCAAATCCCTCCTGATAAGAGTAAAATTAACATAAGGTAACTTATAACTTTGGAGATATAATTAAGAACAAATGACCAATTAAACCAGCAAGTAACAAAACCTAGATAGCAGGAAGCAATTTCGTCCTTCAAAAACTCACGGACCGAGTGCAATTAGAAGGCACACTTAAAGCACTTGGAAGGTTAGAAGATATTCAAAATTGACAACTATTTAAGCATTAAAACATGTTTTTTTTTTTATAACTAATATGCAACGATATATTTTCAAGCTGTCAATAACCAAGGAATAATACATAGCATGGTCTAACTAATGCCAAAAAGTACAAAAGGCGCCAGAACAACTATCTCAATAAGAAACAAGAAAATAATAAATGCTAGGTCCAAATGGATTTTGCAAACAACACAGGAACTTGGGGAAGGGCATTACGAGGGGAATCTTCCCCAAATATTGCACCCAAATGTCAAAGTAGGGCAGTCCATTGGAGGATTTACAACTTCTTTGGACATTTGTCCTTCCACAAAAATCCTTCGTCATCTCTTTAGGAAGAGGATGGGCAGTGGTAGCTACTTTCTTGAAAAGGAATTAGCAAGTAAAAGCCCCCAAGGGACTAAGTTTCCTTGTAACCTTTTTTCATTATAATGAAAATAATTCTTTCAAAAAAAAAAAAAAAAAAAGAAAGAAAGAAAGAAAGAAAGAAAAAATGAACCCAGCATAAAACCTGGTTACATTAGATCTTACATGCATGCAAGTTCGGACAAAATGTGATTTTGCAGTCCAAGACAAATTTACGGTTTCTTCCATTCACAAATAAGACTTGAATCCATGCAAAGATCACCAGTTCTAAAACCACATATGCAATCATCTTGAGTTCACCATCTCTCACGATCCCTCGACACAGTAAAAATTCAATATTGTTTTCTTTGACACAGACTTACACAGATTAAACAAATTAAGCAGGTTGAGGTGGTTTTTCAAAAGAAGGGCACAGTATTCAACCAGACGTTCAATGAACGTAGAATTCTAAAATACCTCCATCTCCATTTTCAAGGAAGTTAATCTGGCCACAACAACTGCAGCAGCCTCTTGATCAAACCCTTGCACCAATTCCTGAAATCAATGCCTCAAAGATTTAACTTTTCACCATTTATTGAGATAGAAAAAGATAACCAACACAGAGAATTAGTGTGTGTGTGTGTGTTCCGACTTTTCATCATAATAGAGAAAGAACCAAACCAGAGAGCACAAGTGTGTGAGGGCGTGTTAATGCCAAGAGTGGTTAACAATTAAATATTATAAACAAGAGTATGTTGACTATGATACAACCACTCCTAGATGCCATGCGGACTGATATGCATCTTCGATGAATTGAAATAGTGCTATTCATCTGTACACATGAATGCCAATTAAGGGCACCCATTGAATATTGTAAGTAGGAACCACACCAATCATCATACTCAAATCTTAGAAAGGATGATTGGAGGTCTTTCTTTAGTTTGCTTCCATTTGTGGGCTCTATTTTTGTATGCTCTCATATTCTCCTTTTTTTTTTCCTTTTTTTTTTTTTTTTGTAGACCTTCCTCCATTGAAATGTTAGTCGTTAATCCCCATTGGATAATAGATCTTAGAACTGTAGAAATAGAGTAATAATAATGAACAGAAAAGTTTTGAAAAATGTAAAAGAAGAACCTCCGAGCTAACTGCAGTGTCTATCCATCTTCTAGTAACAGTTGTAACCCGAAGCATCGACTGACCTTCAGGATCTTGATAACTGCAATCATAATAATAAATGACCACACCCATATTATTCATGATGTCACATATGCTGCATTATCAGATGGAAATAAACCCTCTCAATTGATAGCTTACCTAGTAAGAAACTGCAAATACAACTGTGGATTTGCAGTTCCTGGAGAACTTGATCTATCACTTGATGAAAGATCAAAAAACACTGTCAAACAAGTGCTTTTGTCAAGACCACACATTTTCCACAATGTTGTATTGCCCTCCCCAATAACAGTATCGGCAATAGCAGGACCTTTCTGAAGATATGCACCACAAGCAATCAGTTTCATGAAGCAATCAAGTAAATGGAAAATTTATTATCCATGAGCAAAAGCCAACAACAGTAAATTCAAAGCGTACGACCTTCTCCAAAGATGTGCAAGGTCCAATTATCCCCTGAATTTTGATATCCTTCGAACAATTGATCTCAAGGGTTCCACTGAAATGTAAAAGCAGGTATAAAGTGACATGAAATACTATCCGCTCGGGAAAGAACTAAGAAGAATTAGATGCATGGATTCCAAAATTGTGTTATACTTAGTCCAAAGTAGATGCAGAAGACGTAGACATACCAGAAGCAACAGCCAATGAAATTCATACAACTAAACTTATTTTTAAAACTTTCCCATCTCACTAATATCCATTATTACTTCCCTACTCTTACAGAGTACACATTATTTTTATTGTCATCCAAATTTGAATCATACCATGTAATTCTAGCAATCACCCAGTTTTAATGATTTTAAGCATTTGAGCCTTCATGATACCCATTCATCTTTTTTTTTTTTTATTGTACCTATGATATCAAATATATTTAGATTTATAGTTCCCTATTTGGATTTTACCAAATATCAAGACTAGGTAGTTGACAATACCATCGAAATGGGCATCTGCAACTTAAACTAACATGCAGAAACTAAAACATGGACCAAGTGAATTAAAAGAAAAAGAAGCATACAATACTTATAAAACTATGCACTCACTTAAAGCAAAGACCAAGAGAGTGCTCCCCTCCTTCAAACACACGCTTGAAAGAGTCCTTAAATACCGAATGTCCAAAGCTTTCAGCCAGAACAACAAGGCCACCAGTTTTTTCTACTGTAACTTTCATTTCCGCAACACCAACCTACATATAAATTCCAATGAACGAAGCATGTTTACTGGTAGCAACAGAAAAATACATATAAACGAAAGATTATTACAATAAAATGATTGCACTATGATTGTTAAATAAACCTTGTACAGTGCATTTGAACCCCGATGTTCAAATCTAAGTCGGTTCAAATCAAATAATCATTAAACTACATCAAGTGTATTTTATACCATTAGAAGTAATTAAATCCTGATGTTCGAATCTGATATGGGTTGACTCTATTGAGTCTCAATTACTTTATACCTTATAGAACAGTAGGCACCAATATTTTGTAAGATAAATTTGAGTGAACAAAATGAGACAAAACATGACCTCATCAACAATCAAGTATGTCAGATTTGAATATCAGGAAATCCATTACATCTGGATAAGTATTTAGCAAATAAACAACTTCCTGCAGGAGCTTAGGAGTTGATAATACTTTTAATACAGTGCAGCAAGCATAAAGATCTTTAAAGCAAACATGTCCAATTATAGAATTCCCATGTAGTTTTATATCATATTTCTTTAATAGAATTATAGAAAAACAACTTAATGTTATTTCTTGCAAATTGCTAAAATCATATTTTTAAAAAGGAGAAACAGATTCCATTTGAGGCAGGTAAAAGTTTATACTGACCTGATCAAGTGCTGATGCAAAAAGATCCAAGACGTGGCCTTGACCAACCAGTTGTTTTGCAAGACTTTCATAGAATTTGATTGCTTTTTTAAAGTAAGGGGCTGCATCTTTGTCGAGGTCTTTATGTGAACGTACTGGGTCTGATAGATCTTTGGAAACAATCTGTAAATGTTCAATTCCATCAGTATATCAAACAAAACATCAGCGGGAAGGAGAATAAGATTAATCATATATCAAATTTCAGTTCTAACCATTTAAATGATAACATACAAAAGATAGTAGAACAAAGTCCATGCAAAAGATAGTAGTTCCCTTCATCACTCACAAAAATAATAACATACAATCATGTCCTTGATCACTTGGGTGCTTGTGTACCACAATTAATTACGGAAAAAAATCGCATTGAAGTAAATAAGTTATGACAATGCAAGTAATCGTGTGCACCACTTCAATGTATGTTAAGTAATTATTCCAACCTTAAAACCCCATAGTCAAATTAACTAAATTGATGTCTAAAGAAACAGAGTGAGGACAAATCTAAAACGAGGAAACAGAAGAAAATAAGATAAATGCAATGATGAAATCTGCCACTTTTCGATGCAAGTTCTATAAGCACTTACACCTAAATTCACACCTTTTGTAAACCACCATAGTTGAGTTATGCAAAAGAGGCTTTAAATTAAATTGTTGCAGTCAATGCATATGAACACAGTTTTTTCAATGGCAAGGGCTGTAACTGAAAAGTAAGCAACATTTGGATCCAACTTCCAAGTTTACTTGCACATTTTTGTTCACTACAAAAATGTATTTGAACAAACAGGCTATTGCTATACTAAGGTATAAATCCAACGAATAGCAAGACAAAATAGCCGCTACCCATCCCATGAACTTTGATAAATATTATATACTAATTCTAGCCTCACATGATACTAGAAAAGCAGTGAGAGAAAAAGGTGAAAACATAAGGATCCTGGCTCGATTAGGCCATAAAAATATTGGCCAAAGAAGGCCGGCCAATCGATGAGGGAAATAAGATCATTAAGTCCATATTTTTTGTACTATTGAATTGATTTGAACAAGTGCAGATAACAAGTTTGAGGGAAAAACACAAGTCAACGGCACAAGATGACCAAAATGACCCAGAGAATGTCTGCTACCGAAAGAAATGGCAAGTCAAAATCAAGTACAAACAAAACTTAGTAATAAAGCAAAATAAATTACCAAGTGTAACTCTACGCCTCTGTACAATGTTCTAACAACCAAAAAAATCAAGTAACTTACAACACTTATTCATAGCATAAGATCTGATCTAGTCTAGCACAAACCATGATATATAATTCGAAACAATAAACACGAGGAACAGATTTTTTTTTTGGTTACCGTGCCAGGCCCTTCTGTGCATGGTCCACCAACCAAAGCGATAATTCGAGCACCAGTGCCAGGCAAACAAGCTCCAAGCAAACTAGCTGCAACACTCAACGCCACTCCGGTGCATCGAGATGCCCGATTACCGGGAGAAACAGGCCATTGATCCGTTTGAAGTTCATCCAACAACTAAAATTCATAACAAATACAACCGAGTTCAAGAATTTCCAATCCAATGTGGGATATTGAACCAAAAAGAATTGAACAGAAACATTGAACCAAATGAAACCTACGGAATTGAGGGTATATTCGCATTCAGAAGCAGGCAGCAAAAAACGTGTAACACCCGAATTAGGGAATCCATTCTGGACCCCCTTTTGATACGCTCCAGCAACTCTCCGCCCACCAATGGCAAGACCCAATTGCTCCAAAACCTGCTCCTTAGAAACCTCCTTCGTACCCCGAAACACATACACCTTAGACATATCAGAGAATCCCAATTCATGAACCTGAACCTGAGTCCCAAACGAAACAAATCCAACAAGTGCATTATCAGGCAACAACCCGATCGCCCTTTTAAGCGCGGATTTCACAAACCCCAATTCCTCCTCGATCATGCAGGTATCAAGCAGAAACAGAAAAACCGGGGAAGGATTCGCCTGCTGGGCCGAATCCATAGCAGGATTGGGGTTAATTGATTGCGGAATAGCATATTGAACAGTGGTGTACTGAGGATAAAGCTCCCCAGGAAGATGGGTCTCAGAGATCATGGCATAATGAGGAGGAAAATGACATCTCTGGTAGCAAAACGGGCAGATCCAAATCTTGGCGGTAAAGTCAACACGGGAAAATGGGTTGAGAACCGCGGAGCAAGACTTACAACGGAGCGGCGCGTAAGGGAGTGTTGGGATCTCAGGGTGAGGACGGATCGGAGCGATCGAAGCAGCGAGTGGTACAACGCACTTGCTAGCCTCAACTTTGGTACGAGGCCAAACATTCCATGTCATACGAACTCCATCGATTCCTTCGGGATCTGCGTTCGCCATTTCTGACATTGTGGTGATGGAATTGAAAGGGGAATGGAATTGTTTCTTATGGGAAATGGGTTTTTCCCGCGAAGGGAGAAATTGGGTGTTGGAGAAAGGAATTTGAAAGAGGGAAAAGAGACGAGAAAGAGAGAGAAACAGAGAGAAACAAGCGAATTGAGGCGACCCCCTGAGAAGTTGCAGAGAAGGGGTCACCGCAGGAAGAGAGAGAGAGCTAGAGAGAGAGAATTGGAATTGAAGAATTAGAATTGGAAATTGGGAAGGAAGAAGGGTTGAGGTTTTGACACAGATTTGGTGGGCAGAGAGGTTGAAAGAAAAAACCATGTCAAAAATTTCTCACCTTTGCCCTAAAAACCTAAGCATTTATTGCAAACTTCCCATATGAATTCATCCATCTTTTCGAGTGAACTATCCAGTCATATGAATTTGTTTCGAGGTTAGAAATAAGTAACGACTTGAATCGAAATATAAAATATAAATTCAAATATAAAATATAAACAGAACGATTGATGTCATGTTCATTGGAATGGGCTCGATATGACATTAGGGAGGTACCAATGATGACAGATACCTATGATGTTTTAATGGAATTTTTTAAGATATATATATATATATACACGCATTGAGTCACGAGCATTAACATACAACCCTCTCTAATTCACATATCTCCGTTTTGGTTAATAAAGAATACTATAAATAGTGGCGACAACCACCCATGAGCATATTGCTATGATTTGACCTTGATCGATCCACCTAAGTTAGCTTGTGTTAGGCCTCGGCTGACCTACATGGGTCAGTCTCTGCAACCATGACTGACCCACGTAGGTCAACTTGTATACGACTCAATCGACCCTTCAAGTGTATGGTTTATTGCCATTCTCTTAGCTCATTGGGAAGAACCAAGACTTGTTCATGCTTGGAAATGAGAATCCAAGACAAGTTACCATCTTTCACTCTTGAACATATTGAGTCAAATTTCGAACTTAACCAGCTCCAAACGGAAACCAATTATAATTAAAAAAAAAAACGATGAAACAGTGACCTAAAATAAACACCGTGGTGACTAGAGTGTGCTTGCTTGGATTAAATTTTAAAAAGAACGTTCAATACATTGGAAACAAAACGTCTTAGGTCAATAGTTATTTTGTGGGAATAGTTGAGGTGCATGCAAATTGGTCCTCCGTCTAAGAATAGAGTTCTGCATAGATCAAGCTATGCTCGGTCTCATCAAATTGGACTTTTAAAACATTTTACTTATTAGAAGGTCTAGTCGAGATTTTGAGTTCGTCGAGAGTGACTAACCGACCCTTTTGAGCTAAATTATTTTCTAAGCTCTCTCTCCGGATCCCGAGTCTGAAAAAAGGAAATTTATTCTTAATTATAAATTGAAAAAACAATTTAACATTAAGGAAGAGTGAATAAAGAAGAAAGACAAAAGCAAGTGAAAATTGGTAGGCTTATAAAGAGTCGGGTCGACCCGAAACCGACCCGAAACCGTGTGAAGGATCCAGATCCAAACCCGTGAAATTCAAAAAAGGTTTCTTCCTTCTTCTGTATTATAATAAGGAGGTTTTGCATGTGGAATGTGTTCTGTCATTTCAAATTTCTTCCCTCTCTCTCTCTTCTCTAACGGCTATTTCTCTCTCTTCTTCCTTCTCTTTCGCTCTCTTGTCTTCCTCAAAATCTTCACTCTTCGTTCTCTCTGTCAAATCCGTTTCTACTTCCTCCAATTCGCCGTTTCTTTCCAATGAAGCATTTTATGCAGCCAAGAAACGGTATCTTGCGAGATACCCATGCCGCCGACCAGCCTTCTTCGTCGTGCCCTAGCGCCGGAATCAAGGGAAGACCCCCTCGGAAGCCCAAGTCCTCCAAGGAGAATGCTCCGCCTTCAGATCCGAACTCCATGCTTCCAGATTCCAAACCCTCGCCGGCCAAGCTGAAGACCCCGCTCCCTCCCCGCCCTCCGTCTTCCAATCCACTCAAGCGGAAGCTCAGTATGGAGGCCCTTGCTGAGAATTCGATCCCTGGGTTGTCTGATTCTGGTGTGAAGGTACATTTCGTGTTGCAATTATGTGTGTTATGGTTCAACTTAACTAAGCTAATAGAAGTGGCATTCTGTGCAACTTAACTAAGCTAATAAAGTGAGTGACTCCGTTTTTTTTGTTTTTTTTGTTCAGTTCACTCATGTTTTAGATGTCGAACTTCCGTAATGTTACTTAAAACCTGGATGTTCAACTGTGTTTCCTATTGTTATGATTTATTTGTGGCTTGTATTGATAAAATATTAAACAGTATGTTAACAGAGACGAGGGGTATGAGTGCCAGGAGAAGGAGAGATTATGTACTCTCAATTTAAGAGGATTTTTTGTTCTAGCTCCCAATCTGTCTTGCCAAACATAATTTTTGTCTGTGATTTTCAGGTGGTAGTGCGGATGAGGCCATCGAGCAAGGACAGAGACGAAGGGGATAACATAATACAGAAAGTTACTGATGATTCTTTGTCAATTAATGGCCAAACCTTTACTTTTGATGCTGTTGCTGACACAGAGGCAACGCAGGTACGATCTTTAGTGACCACTTTTGTAGCTTTTTGATGGGCATTTGTAAATACGGGGTGAATGATTAACTTTTGTTTTATTCTGTTTTCAGCTTGATATCTTCCAGCTTGTAGGAGAACCTCTAGTTGAAAATTGTATGGCAGGTTTCAACAGTTCCGTATTTGCATATGGACAGGTATGTCTACATCCCTTCGTCCACCTTTCTGTTCCTTGCTCTTTATGATGTTTATTTTCTCATTCTAAATGTCTATGTACTCATTGAATCAGACGGGAAGTGGAAAGACATACACCATGTGGGGTCCAACCAATTCTTTGTCAGATGACAGTTTACTAAGCGAACAAAAAGGCTTAACTTTCCGTGTTTTTGAACGACTCTTTGCTCGTATAAATGAGGTGGGTTTAGAAGTTTTAGTCCTTAGACTCTTTGAAAGTAATGGTGCATAATCTCACATTATTTAGTCTTTGATTAAAATTGCAGGAACAAGTGAAGCATGCTGACAAGTTACTTAAGTATCAGTGTTCCTGTTCTTTTCTCGAGGTTGGACAACAATTGTCTTGTACAGTATGATCTACATATTTTATCTATGAATTCGTTCAAATTCTATGGAAACTTTGTTGCAGATTTACAATGAGCAAATCACTGATTTATTGGATCCAAATCAGAGAAACCTCCAGGTTATTGATAATTCCTACTGTCTCTTGATAGCTCACTTTCTCTCCAAATAGTAAACTAAAAGAATAGAGAAGAAACAATGGTTCTACTTCCTGTTATATGAGAAGCTTATTCTTCTGTTGGATTCTTCTTTCAGATTAGAGAAGATGTAAAGTCTGGTGTTTATGTTGAAAATCTAACGGAGGAGTGTGTATCAACCATGGCAGACGTTACTCAGCTTTTAATGAAGGTTTATTATCTTCCTCATCCTGCTAATTCATGCACCTAAGTGCACGCCCAACCAAGCTTAACACACAAACACACAAACAAAGTTGAAATATAAATGTTAAGGGTATTATTATATATTTATATTATCTTTTCGTCATGGTTAAAGATTACCCTTTCTATAACAATTATAATAAATTACTGTTATTACAACCGAAACTCTTTGATTTAACCATGATATATTGCACCCATAAGCTCTATATGTGATTGTATTTAGGCTTTACACAACCTGTGCTTTGAAATTATTAAGTTAAATTGCTAATTGATTCTTCTTTCTAAGGATCATTGTAATTTGGCCTACCTTGATTTGGAATTTGTTTGGTTTTTCCTCTTTCTACGTTGCATCCGCATGAGAATTTGCATCAGTGATGCACTGATTAGATTAGTGCTTCCATCATACAGCAATCTTTTCAAATCTCGAAATTTGAAAGGCTTGTCATCAGTTTTGTAGTGATATTTATGCAAATTTGCATCAGTTCATGGTCACCACTCTTCTACCTTTTTTAGTTACCCTTTTAGACTGACTTCGATAGTTTTAAACATCACATATATTTATAATCATATTATAATTATGCAGGGTTTATCAAATAGGAGGACTGGTGCAACAAGTATTAATTCTGAGAGTTCGCGGTCGCATACAGTTTTTACCTGTGTTGTTGAATCTCGATCCAAGGTAATACTAAAAGAATGTTGCTAATATCTTTTAATATGGTGGTATCATTGGATTTAAATCAAAGAATTTATCATACAAGGTTGTCTGCAACATGAAAAGTGAAAAGTAAATGTCGTCATGATTGATCATTGATCACTAGATTAGATTAACAGCTATTGGCGCCGTAACTTAAAAAATGGATAATGATCATCCAGTTTGTTTAGAATGGAAATGCATGAGTACCATCTTTCTATATTCAAGTATTGGTACTTGGAAAATATAGATTGACAATGATTTTATTGTGCAGAGGATGGCAGATGGTTTAAGTAGCTTTAAAACGAGTAGAATAAATCTTGTTGATTTAGCTGGTTCCGAGAGGCAGAAGCTAACAGGTGCAGCTGGGGAGCGTTTGAAGGAAGCAGGAAATATCAACAGATCACTCTCGCAACTTGGGTATAACCAATGAAAACTAGTGGAATATATAGTTCAGATCTATCATTTAAGCAGTGATCTTACCAGGGAGTTTTTTTTTAATGTTAATTATTTGGCTAATTATTTATCAGAGTTGATACAGCTGCATGTTTTATTATTTTCATCTTCAGTGAACAAAATATCAACAAATATTTAATTTTTCGTTTCATGTATAGAGAAATGGAGCACTAGGATCAAGTTTATTTGACAAGCTAGAAATCTAGGGAAGTATCGGATACCAAACATTAGAGGAAAAGTGTCGGATAGAATTTGTACAGAGTTGGCATCCTTTTCCTTTTGCTATGATGAAGAATTAAAATACATTATTAAACTATTTTATGAATTGTAGTGTTCATATGTTCAACTTCCGGGAAAAGACTCGGCTGAACATGAAAAACAACATCAAACTTTAGATAATGCACACACACTTCAGCGAAGGATATTACTTTTGCGGTTTAGCTTCCTTTGTGTTTGGATTAATTAATTGAGCTATTGTGTTTTGATTATTAAATTGAGCTATTTTGTGTTTTGATTTCAAGTTCTAATTTGTCGACATGTGTCACTAAGGATGTGCCTCGAAGAGTCTTTTTTTCCCCTTTTATTAAGAAAACGATTGTGGTACAGGAATCTAATCAATATTCTTGCCGAGATTTCTCAAACTGGAAAACAAAGGCACATCCCATACAGAGACTCCAGGCTCACTTTTTTATTGCAAGAATCTCTTGGGGGAAATGCAAAACTA